ATATATATATATATTATATGTATATTATTATTCATATAAATATAAATATATATAAATAAATATAAATATATAAATATTATTTATATGTATTTATATTTATATGTATAAATATACATATTTATATATAAGAGTCTTATTAGTAATTACTAAGTCTATATATATAATTGGGGTGTATAGGCAGCTAAAAGTAGAGAAAAAAAAAAGGAAAAAAAAAATAAATTAAATAAATTAAATAATTAGTTAATTAAATTAAATTAAATTAAATAAATTAAATAAATTAAATAAATAAATAAAAAAGAAGAGAATAAATATATATTCTTTTTTCTTCTTTTTTTATTTATTTATTTTTTTCTTTCTTTCCTTACAAACTCTTCCTTATACACCGCAATTATTTATACTGCGGATAAGAAGAAATCAAACTGCTGCTGCTGCTGCTGCTGTTTCTGCTGCTGCTGCTGCTGCTGCAGCAGCAGCAAATGCATGCATGCATGCACATTTGCATGCATTAGTATGCATGCACAGCAGCAGCAAATATATATATATGCATGCATGCATGCATGCATTTGCATGCATGCACTGCAGCAGGAAATGCATGCAAGGGAACTTTGCTACTTGCTGCAGCAGCAAGTTAACTTTGTGCTGCATGCAGCCCCCTTACACAATAACTACAATGCTGCAGCAGCAGCAGCTGCTGCTGCTGCTGCTGGTGCTGCTGTTGTTGCTGTTGCTGCTGCTCCTGCAACTTTTGCAGGTGCCTTCTTCATGTGCTGCTGCTGTATGTGCTGCTGCTGCTGTTTCTGCTGCTGCTGCTGCTGTTACATGTGCTGCTGCTGCAGTTGCTCCTGCAGAAACTGCTGCAGGTGCTGTTGTTGCTGTTGCTGCAGTTGCTGCTGCTGCTGCTGCTGCTGTTGCTGCTGTACCCTTTTATGCTTCTTCCTCCTCTGTGTGTTTCTTACTAAATTTAAGTGGTGTCTTTGCTGCTGGCGTTGGTGGGTATTGTGTCTGCTGCTGCTGCTGCTGCTGCTGCTGCTGCTGTGGTTCCTGCTGCAGTAGTATTTGTTGTTGCTGCAGTAGTTGTTGCTGTTGTTGCTGCAGTTGTTGTTGCTGCAGCAATAACTGTTGCTGCTGTTGTAAGAGCTGCTGCTGCTGCAATTGTTGCTGTTGTTGCTGCAATTGTTGCTGTTGCTGCTGCAGTTGCTGTTGCTGCTGTTGCTGCAACTGCTGATGGTGCAATTGTTGCTGCAATTGTTGCTGTTGCTGTTGTAATTCTTGCTGCTGCTGTAACAGTATTTGCTGCTGCTGCTGCTGCTGCTGCTGCTGCTGTATAAGAGAAGGATTAACAGCAAGAAATTCCCTAAAATCTATAAGATCATCATTTTGCTGCTGCTGCTGCTGCTGCAGTTGTAGATGCTGCTGCAATTGCTGCTGGAGCAATAATTGTTGCTGCTGCTGCTGCTGCTGCTGCTGCTCATCCTCCTCCTCCTCCTCCTCCTCCCCTTCCTTAGATAAGGAAGCTAGCTCCCCTATTGGCATAAGGGGACGAGGCAGCAACTTTAGTGCATGCACAAGGGAGAAATCTAGGGAAGAAAAAAGATGATTAATAAAATATTTATAGAAAGTTTTTTGCTGCAGCAGCAGCAGCAGCTGCTGCTGCTGCTGCTGTTTATAATATTGTTGCTGCAGTACTTGCTGCAATAATTGCTGCATTATTTGTTGTAATTTTATATATGTTTTCCTTCTTTCCTCAAGAGATAATCTCTCCCCTTCTCTATTATCTGCTGCAGCAGCAGCAGCAGCAGCAGCAGCAGCAAGTGTCTTTTTTACCTCAGGTA